AATGAATTTTTCACAAATTAATTTTGTGGACTTTTACACGTTTAGTTTGATGAAAATGATCATTCAACGAAAAATCACTTACACTAAAAAAAAAACATGTAGACTTAAAGTTAGGAAAATGAGTTCCCTAACCTGAAAAGTGGAAAACATTTTCCTGAAAATAATTTCTCGACAAGTATTTTTTTTATCACAAATTTTTTCCGAACCAAACACAAGTTGCACTCTATGGCCAGTTTGATTTTGAAACTTTTTCTTTGTGCTGATTAGGGGCGATCGATGGTTCCTCGTTTCTGGAAATCGGGGACCGGACCGACTGGTCCGGTCTGATCCGGTCCGATGGATTCGGTGACTATAATGTTCTCTGTCCGCATAGAGTGAGCTATCTCCTTGTGCAATGTGTACAAGTCCAATGATATGCTCCGATGGTGTAGAACACCAAGGCATGAGCCAAATACAATGACTTTTCATATATAGTGGCGTGTGACACCAACAACTCGGTATATGTTATGATGTTAAACATGTGCAATGTGTACAATATCACATTATGCATGAGAGTGGAGGAATTCGTCAACCAAACCAGGAAAAAGAATTCATTCCCTGGCGCTGCAATGAAGTGAAGCTCGTTCTCATATAGATATGTACATAATTACATATATGTGGAAGACAAGGAGAAAATTAAAAAAAAATTTATTGAAAGGAGATAGCATACAAGCTATAGATAGACCAGTGCAATGTGTACACATTGTTGTTGTCTTGAGAGAGCATACATTGCACAAGTCTATCTAGTTTGTATGTTATCATGCCGTATATGTTGTACACATGTACATAATTTTTCAAAAAAGATTAAAATAAAATGTAACCGGTCCAGTCTGGACCGGTGGCCTCTAGAACCGCCCAGAACCGGCCGGTCCGGTCCAAGCGGTTTGGGTTCATGCGGTTCCCATTGTACACACCCCTAGTGCTGATTAAGTCCCTCAATCCGTCAATGCTCGCAAAGGAAGGTGCCGAAAACTCAGGTTTTGTCCCGTCAATCAATTTGTGCCAACCCAAAAACAAATAATTCGAGACATGATTAAGCAAATTTCAATGGCTTTTCGTCGTCCGATGGCTCTGATAATTTGAACACGGGACAGCTGCGATTTGTCGAAAATGTTGACAAACTAGCTTAGATCGAAAGGTTTCTGCAAATTTAAAAAAAAAATGATTGTACGGATTGTAAGTCGGAGGACCATATTAAAAGAACATGTTATGACAGTGTAACTCTTTCAACTTTTCATGATTGTGATACTGCGCGCACGAATTTTTTTCGTTAAATTAAGTAAACAAGCTCTCATAATTGACTCAATTGGGTAGTTCAGTTAAATAAAATTAACAGCATTGGTTGATGCATATTTTGTCCTTAGGTCGACCTCAATTATACGGATTGGACGCCAACATGCCTTTCTCGAAATGACGCCGAATCATAAATCGAACCGTCGATATGAATCTACCTCGCTCTCTTGTCACGAGACCTTGTTGTTTTTTTTTTCCCCCATAAAGCAACCACCGCGAACACCACCATTGCCCTTACTCACACCCCCCCGGCCTCGAGGCCGTGCAATCTCCTTTTGAGGCCGAGATCTCTCATTGGCAGTCACGGAGAGAGCGAGCGAGCGAGAGAGAGAGAGGGCGTGATAGGGAGTCGAGAGCGGATACGGTGGCGACGACGGTGGCAGGGAGCAACAAATGCAGATATCGACGCCGGCAAGGATGGGTGCCAAGGACCGATCACCGATGAAGAAAAACGAAAGGAGGAGAACGAAAACAAAACTGAGAAAGTGTGTAGATTAAAGAACGGAAGGAAGAGTAAATTATGCGGCGATCCGATTCCACCAATAATTGTCGATTTAGCACTGTACGCCAACAACAAAAAAGAAAAAAAAAAACACGTGGTGTGTCGCTTAACTTAATGAAAAACGAGTGCGCTCACATGGAGTCTTTTTCCTAAAATTAGAAACTCGATTGAAAATAAAAAAGTTAGAAAATTTCATTCCACACTCTGAAGGAAATTTCACCATTGTGATCTCTTTGCGCATGTGGAGTACCCGAAAACAATTTCCGTTGACTTTTTTTTCTTCGGACAATAAAGGGTAAAAATTATAGGGAAAAAAAAGAGAGTACATCTCACAAAAAATGAAAAAAGGGTTAGTACTACGAAAAACCCGAAACTGGTACATCCGTGATAAATTTATCACAAACTAATTTTTTGACCACCAAAAATCCCAAACTGGTACACCTGTGACAAATTTACCATAAACAAATTTTTTGATCACCAAAAAATCCCAAATTGGTACATTTGTGATAAATTTAACCTCCGTTAGTTTTCTTCAAATTTGATTAATATCTCAAAAAATCACAAACTGATACGCTTATAACAAACGGATGATAAAATCCAAAACCGTTACATCTGTCAATTGCCGCGTGCTATTTAATATATCAATTTAAAGGTAAAATTTAACGGAGGGTAAATTTGTCATATATGTACTAATTTGGGATGGTCTTTTGAGGTAAATTTATTACATATGTATCAATTTGAGATTTTTCGCGATATTAATTCAAATGAAAATGTAAAGAAAAGAAAAAGATGAAGTAGCGCGACGTCCTGGATCTGCAAATATGCGCCTGTGGCTCTGACATTCATCAGTTCCCAGGAAACATAACTTTCCTCCAAAGCTTTCATCAATGGCGGCCGACCCCAACCAAGTTCAATGTTCAGGAGCAGCGCCACGTGGCTTACAGTGCACATCCTCTAGCAGCAGCTCAACCACTCGATCATCGCCATCATCACCAGAAGCACAAATGTGTTGTTATCTGTCTCCTGAATCCCAATAAAAAAGAAAGTGGATGCGCCAAATTCTGCCTTTTCTTTTCTATTTTTGTTCGTTTTTTTTTCCTTCCTTTTTACATTGGTTCGAAACCCGATCTAGGAGTCGAAATGCTCACGCGCTTGCCTTATAATGTGTTGTTGGATGACGTGAGATTTTGCGAAACTACTATTAACTGTTTTGAAAATTTAAATTATTAGATGGATACGTAGTTAGTATTAAAAAAATTTCATCATACAAAATAATTCTCGCAAGAAGTGGATGGATCCGTGATAAAGTTACATTTTGCAATTAATGTTGTAGCAATGCTTTTGTACGAACTATGCCACCCAATGCATATGGAATTACGATGTTTTGTGCTATTGCTCGAATATCACCAATTATGTTTTGAGCGATGTTAAGGACAACGATACTTTTCGAAAAGATGAAAATGTCGAACTATCGAACACCCAAAAAAGAAGAAGCAAAAGTAAACGAGTGTAATTGAGACAAGAGTACCGCATTCGAGTGCAGATATTCGTGGAAGGACGAGCTTGAAAAATGAAGCCATTCAAAGGATAAGTAATTGAAACGAACAATACTGCTTCGAGGAGGTTTAGACACTTGAAAATGAAAATCTCTCGAGCTCCGTTTATTTCATGAAAAATAAATGATTTGGAAATGACTTTTCAAAAAATGATCGCTTGTACTATTTGAAAAATGGAAAATGTTTTCGTCATTGAAAACAATTTATGTTTAAACATTTTCGTTAAAGATGAAAATATTTTTCGTTCATTCATTTTTGCAAGCGATAAATTTTTAAAAAATATTTTTTAAATCATTCATTTTTTGTAAAACAAATGAGCCATAGTATTTTTTACGGAAAAAGAAAATAAAGAAAAGAAGATGAGTGAGGCATTTAGGCATGTGCCTTGATCCGCACTCTAAGCGCAATTTGAGTAGCATTGTCTACCTTCTCTGTTCCGCCGCCCCTCGTCGATGCACATGAGGAGATTGATTTTGGGGGTGGTTGCCGGTGGTAGCCAAGCGTGGTGTTCCGGTGATGTTCATGCCGTTCACAACGACGGCAGCTCAGTCGCTGGTGGCACCGACACCCGATAATGACGATGATGGTCGAGTTCGAGAGCGGCCATGGCAACTGCTGAGTACGTTAATGCGGATGGGCAACAACAGTGAGATGGGCTAGAAAGAGAATTACACCCATGGAAGGTATAGTTGTCGACGCCGCGCCACAGTAACTTTCCGGGAAAATGACACAAGTGATTCTCTAACTTTAACCCAATGAATAATATTATCCCTAAGCTTAAATCGATGGAAGGATATCATCGGATATCTTCATATAATTTAAGGACTAGGTTAAACATTCACCAAAAGTTCAGGGATCACGTTTAACAAATCAAAAGTTCACGGACCATATTACGCATCGGACCAAAGTTCATGAACCACATTGAACAGACTAAAAATTCACGGGCGACATTATACATCGGACCAAAGTTTCACGGACCATTTACGCAATTATCCCTGATCTTTTCTTGCGAAATACAGAAAGTCCCACAGAAATGGAGCCTTTTTTGTTACTCCCCAGGGGAAAAAGAAATTGCACTTTCCGTCCGGCAAAAATGCGAAATAATTTGGGAAAAAATAAGCTGGCAAAAAAGGGAAAGGAAGAACAAAGAGGGCCGGTTGAATGACATCCGATCAGCAAGATCGAAGGGGGAAAAAAAAAGAAACTACACGAAACGCACGACACGCCCAGAAAGCGTAAGAGGGAAAAAAGACTCTCTCCCGACCCCAGTGTGCGCGAGAGCGAGAGCGAGAGAGAGAGAGAGAATTTTTATACTCTCGCCCACACACCGGGACACGGCAAATCAATCGTGCCTCTCGTGCGATTCCGCTCTCTTTAAACCTAACAGTCCTTTGTCTCCGTCTTCGTCTTCCTCCTCCTCCCTCCTCTCGCCGACTTCCCTTTTTCCCTCGCATCGGTGTTGCTGCATCGTCGTCCGTTGTTCGAAGCTCCTCCCGCCGCCGCTGCTGAGCCATCTGTTTTCCCGGGCCGATTCCGCGCTTCGCATTGCGCGATCCCGCTCGCGAATCCGCCGGTTCTCCGAGCTGTTTCTCGCCGGGGTGGGTGGGTGGGGGGGGGGGGGGTTTCGGACGGTTCCTCTGCGCCGATCGGCGGTGGGGAGATGAGAATCGAGGCGGCGGAGGGCCTCGGCTTTTGACGCGGTGGTTGTTTTCCGATTCGGGTTTCGGATTCTTGGGGATCAGTCGGCCGATGAGCGTCGCGGGGGCGGAGTTGATTGCGGATCGGTCCGCGGTTCGTATTTGCTGATTTTGGGCTTCGCATTGCGTGATCCTGGTCGTGGCTTGCTCCGGTTCTCGGGCTGTTCGGGGCTTCCGCCATGGCTTTCGTTGCGATCGGTCGCCGGAATGAGCCGGAGGCGGTTCGATCCTGAGGCGTTGCTTGATTCCGTTCGGGGGTTTCGGGCGGCGTCTGTTGATGAGTTTTGTAGCGTCGAGGTGATTGGGCAGAATGAGTTCGTCGAGGCAGGTGACGGCGAGGGACCTGGCTGAGGAAGCCAGGAAGCGGATTGTTTTTCTGGCAATATGCGTCATTGGGCTGTCATACCTCATGTCCTGTAAGCCTCGCGTGTTGTTATTATGAATTCGATCGATTCGTTTCTGCGTTGATGTTAATTCATTCGCCCTTTTTTTTTTCGATCAATTTTGGCTGTGCGTGTATGCATTATGAGTTGCAATATTGAGTATCTTGTGGCTCGATTTGCTACAACACCTCCTCTACTGGACTTGCAACTTTCCATTGGTGGGTGGCTGTAGTCTCTTCTATGTATATTTGATTCGTCCACTTTGGTGTTCCTGTATAGTGACAGTCTCTCGGGGCTACTTTTAAGCATGAAAAACTGTTATGCAGTGTGAATCTCGCATGATATAAAATTTGATTGGAGGAAAGGACACTACGTGGTGTTCTGGATTGGTTCGGGGACGCATCATCAGATGTCTCAATGAATGGATGAATTAATGATTTGATTCTATACTCCAACTGTGTAAGTGTGAGCTGGTATCCAATTTTGGCTAGACTAGAAATGTAGGTCTGAAGGGAAGGAGGAGTACTGATTGTTAAATAGGCATGATAATGGAGTTGTAGGCTAAAAATATTTTTGTAAAGCTTCTTTGCATTGAATTGATTTTCCAGGTTATTGATGCAAACTTATTTTATTCTACTCTTTCGTAGTTCCATCTTGATAATCTGTAATGATCTTTGAAATAAAACCCCCGGAATTAATTTACCTTATTTTTGTGGATGACTAGCTAGCATTGTCAATCATAGGAAAGAGTAAGATTGACGCTCTTTTTCACTGTGGCAACGGGAATAAAGAGAGCGAGGATTCTTTTTTTGGCTAGAAATGCGTCAGACTTCATCTTTATTGCTTTAGAGTTCAGACTACAACCTCTCAAGGGGCATCAAAACTAACATCCTTCTCTAACAAAGTTCTCAAAGAAAGAGATGGGCGAGTAATTCACCCTTGAGGACATAAACCCTTCCTATCTTAAGTAGCTACCCAATTAGCATATTCATCAAGAGAGCAAAGACTTGGCAATATTTTGGGCCTCAACCAATAACATTGAAAAGAAAGAGAAGCTCAAGTAACTTTAACAGTTAGCAAATATCTTGCTAGAATCATCTTTTGCTTCATACCGTCATTTCCGAACAATTCAGCAAAGCTAGCATTTTTCGTCCTTGTTGCTGTTGGTGCATCAAAGTTTGAAACCTAATGGAGCTTTATGGAGTTTTGGAATAATCAAGTCTTGCGATTTTGTGCGAAACTTTGATGTGTTCTCATAATTTGAAAATTTGTTAAACTGAAGGTATTGTTGAATATTTACGTGCTGTGATTCTTTCTGCTATTATTTGTTATTTGCTGAATCTCCATGCTTATGATGGGACATTCACTGATCTTATTTCTGTTTTCAGTGACAAGCTCTTCTGTGTGGGTTAACTTACCCGCTGCTGCAACATTGATCATTGCCCTTCGCTATTTTTCAATGGATTTTGATATGCGAAGGAAAGCTGCAGTATATAACAGCAAAAAACCTGCAAGCACCACTGCATCTCTGAAGAATCCTGTTCGAACTCCTAAAGTTGTTACAAAGTCAAACTGGAGAAGAAAAGTGGATTCTCCTGTAGTCGAAGATGCAATGGATTGCTTTACCAGGCATCTAGTATCCGAGTGGGTCACAGATCTTTGGTACTCTCGTTTAACACCTGATAGAGAAGGCCCAGAGGAATTGGTGCGCATCATCAATGATGTTCTTGCAGAATTTTCAGATCGTGTGAGGAACATTAACCTAATCGACCTTCTTACAAGGTATTCTCATCATGATATTCTTCATCTTTTTTCTGTATCATTATTGTTTCCAAAAATCTGGTTTTCATGGTCATTGACCTTATTAAATGGTGCAGGGATATTGTCTGTCTCATCTGCACACATTTGGAGGTCTTTCGCATGACACAAGCAAAGATTGAAAAGCAACAGTTCGAACATCTCACTGTTCAGCAACTAGATGGTGAACTAAGACGTATCTTGGCTTCTGAAAATAAATTACACCCAGCATTATTTTCCATTGAAGCTGAGCACAAGGTTGCTTTCTTCATATCTCCTATATGTAGACATTTGCGTTCCTTGCTATTCTCATGCTTTTTTTTCTTCCTGGCACAGGTTTTACAACATATAATGGACGGACTTATCTCTTTTACCTTCAAGCCCGAAGATCTGCAATGCTCATTTTTCAGATGCATTGTCAGGGAGCTTCTTGCCTGTGCAGTGATGAGACCAGTCCTGAACTTAGCTAACCCAAGGCAACTATCTCTTAGCTTTCATTAATATACGGCCCCTAATTTCGTCTGTTATTCATTTTCTATTGATATTCTTTGTAGGTTTATCAATGGAAGGATCGAGTCATTTGTCATTTCTAAAACCAAGGCTAATAAAGGTGCAATTTCAGCTCATGAGGCGTCGCCATCTAAAAATGGGACGAGGGTCTCATCTGATCATTTCTCCAGATTCTTAGATCCTACAGTAACTGGTGTTGAGCTCGTGCAGTTAAAAACAAGTCCATCCAAAAGTGCTTCTAGCACACATAATGCAGAAGACATCAATGGAACGTATCTTTCCAAAGATCCATTGCTTTCTATGGACGCGCGATCCTCCCGTTCATGGAATTCTTTGCCTGTGGAATCCCAAAATGGTGACGATAAAGGTATCTTACGACACCGCGCTGGAGGTGAGTGGGGAGAAATGTTGGATGTGATCTCTCGTAGAAAAGCTCAAGCTCTTGCTCCTGAACATTTTGAAAACATGTGGGCCAAAGGGAGAAACTACAGAAAGAAGGAGGGAGAAAATCGGTTGATCGAACAGGTTCCAAAGCAGTCTTTAGCGAATAAGGCTGTTGTCACTGATCATTCTAGATCTGTGTCCAAACCCAAAGGAAAGGACCAAATGGTAAACAACAATCCCCCTGGAGGTGGCACCTCTTCTGCAGTAGAGAATCCCTCCATCCAACCAAACAAGAACTTGTCAGGTCACTCGCTGATATCTGTAACTGAAGAAGATGATGACCAGAGTCTCATGCGTTTGGAGGAGGCTGATTCAGCGAGCAGTTCATATACTTCTGAAGATGAAGAAGCTGAGACCATTACTGGTCTTGACTCTCCTGGAACTAAAGTTTGGGATGGCAAGAGTAAGAGAAATGTTGGAGTTACTCCCATCCATCATCCACTGGAAACTTTTGAAGGCAGTAGCACAAGGAAGACTGGCAAAGGACATCCTCGCTATCAAAGATTTTCTGGTACCCGTTCGGGCAGGAAAAGGTCTAGATTAAGCAGCACAAAGGTGCATGTTTGGCAGGAAATTGAGAGAACAAGCTTCTTATCTGGAGATGGACAGGACATACTTCATACTTCAAAAGGCTATGGGACTGACGACGCCTCTAGTGATGACTCTGAGAATGAAATTTTGGGTAGAGCCAACAGTGGCGCAGCTGCTTCTTCCTCTGCACCCTCAGTATCCCTGCTAGAATGTCATATTTCGAATACTACCACTGTGCAAAATTCCTTGGTTGTGGATTCTTTTTTGAAGTTAAGATGTGAGGTACTCATTAAGTTTGGTTGTGTATGTTGGCATGCTGTGGTTTTGTTTTCTCCCGTATTTTTAAGTATAGGAAATGCATCTAAGCACATGTTTCATTGTAGGTATTGGGTGCAAATATTGTGAAAAGTGGCTCTAAAACCTTCGCTGTGTATTCCATTTCTGTCACAGATGTAAATAATAATAGCTGGTCGATCAAAAGAAGGTACTAACAATTTCACCCTGAACTTTGTGTTAATCTGTGTAATGTAAACTCAATTTCTTATGCCTATGTTACCCTCAGCTCGATTATCTCTACACAGTGTCATTTTCTGATCTAATTTGTCAACTTTTGCATGTTCTGGTGTCTCTATCTATATTTGACTGATGTTTGCAATAGGTTTCGGCATTTTGAGGAGTTGCATCGTCGTCTTAAAGAGTTTCCAGAGTACAATCTTCATTTGCCACCCAAGCATTTTCTCTCGACAGGCTTGGACATATTTGTGATTCAAGAAAGATGTAAATTGCTTGACAAATATTTAAAGGTCAAAATTCTCTCTCCCCGGCTTTCATTTGCTTTTAAGCTGCAATGGTAGACCCGGCTGGTAGCTGGAATTTGCATGAAGTGCTTAATCTATAGGTTGTCTGTTGTCTTATTCTATTTTATATTATTTCATCAGAATTTTGGTTGTTGATCTTTTTCAACGATGATCTCAGCAACTAATTGTTGGTACCCGGTTGACGCTTTGTGCTATTAAAAGTGTTCTATTCTGAACCTTCCATCAAAGTAGTTATCCTTTGTGTTTAGATGACCTGAGCTTCGTTGTCAGTTGTATACAGTAGTACTTGCAGTCATTCAGTACCTTACTTTAGCTGAGTTTCATTGTAAAGAGCCATTTCTCTTTTTTGTGGTTTTTATGTCTTACCTAAATATGTTTATGCTGTTCAGAAGCTTATGCAGCTTCCAACAATTTCTGGCTCAATTGAAGTATGGGACTTTCTAAGTGTTGATTCTCAGGTCTGACCATCATTTCCATGCACTACTGTTACTTCATAACCCTGTACTAGGGCTCTTCAGCCTTTTTTCTTGTGTGTGCTTCATGCCTCTCACTCTCTCTCTCTCTCTCTCTCTCTCTCTCTCTCTCTGGGGTTTAGGGGTGGGCATTGGAACTTAGAATGGTGAATTGCTTCCTTTCCCTCTTTTTTCCTTCCTCTGTATTTGATTAAAAGACTAAATAGATAAATATTTTTTTGATGCAGACATATTACTTCTCAAGTTCTTTTTCCATCATTGAAACTCTATCAGGTGTATTTTTCTGTTCTTTTCCTTTTCATTTCTGCCAATTGGTTGTGCTTTTGTGATGATTTGCTTTTTTTCCCGCATTCTGATCAACTCTGCATTTTCCATCTGGTGCTTGATGACTTTCTAGTTGACCTAGAGGATAAGCCCTCTCAAAAGAGCAAAAGGGTTTCAAGTTTTCCTGGGTCAACCATCAGTCCCTTGTCATCCAGAAGAGATAATATAGTTCCCGATAACAAGGAGACACCATTGCAGATGAAGCATGATCCTGTGGTGGATTGTTCCAGGCTGAATGTGCAAGATAAAATTGCCAATAGCAGGGGGAGTGATGCCACTGAAGAGACATCTGAGGCACTTCTTGATGCTGCCACTGACCCAACCCTTCCTTCAGAGGTATGGACTAGAGCCATACTCCTTTTCAAGATGACTAATTGTGGTTTGATATAATCCCCTACATTCTCAATCTTGTAGTGGGTCCCTCCAAATCTCAGTGTCCCGTTGTTAGATTTGGTCGATGTCATTTTCCAACTCCAAGATGGTGGATGGATACGGTACGTTGCAGTTGCTTGATTCCTCCCCCCAACCCCCCCCCCCCCCCGTTTTTTTATCGGAACTAGATTTTGATGTTAAACTATATCATAGGAGGAAGGCATTTTGGGTAGCCAAACAGATTTTGCAACTAGGAATGGGCGATGCCTTTGATGACTGGTTGATAGAGAAAATTCAGCTTCTTCGGAAGGGAGCCGTTGTTGCTTCTGGAATCAAGCGTCTCGAGAAGGTATTTGAACTGCCATGTGGTCTGTGAGAATCTGGGAAAAGGTGTTGCCTTTATTGTGCAAAGCTAAACTATTAATGTTGAAGAAGTACTTCTGATTCTTCCATGGACTACTTGGATTATAGGATAATCGAATTTTTGTCTATGCCTTTCCTGGTCCACAGTTAAAGTTGCAGGGATTGGCTTTCTGAGTTTTCTCAATTCTGTAAATAGCCTTAACAACTTAAGGCTGTGAGTAATAGACAGAATGCTAAACCTTTTACGAGGCACGGGCAATGTCTGAACATGTTTTTAATGCGGTGTTGCTTGAATTAGCTTCATGAATCATGCACTCAACTACAAATGAATATGTCGCATTGACTCATTCCAAGTTGTGTGATTGAAACAGATTCTTTGGCCTGATGGAATATTTATAACCAAGCATCCAAAGCGACGACGTGCTCCATCTGTCAATCCGTCGCAAAGTTCACCACGTGACCAGCAGTCTCCAGAAATGCCTTCACCTAGACAGAGTGATGAGCAGCAGCAACTGGAAGAAGAACAACGTGCAAAGTTCGTATATGAGATAATGATTGGTAAAACTTTGCCTTGACATTTTTATACAGAGTCTGAATTGATTCATATGATGTCATACAGTCTAAAGCCGCCTGATGTTTTGGACCATAAGCGAACTTTTTGGTACTGCAGATAAAGCACCAGCTGCTATTGTCAGTCTTGTTGGTCGTAAGGAGTATGAACAGTGTGCAAAGGATCTCTATTTCTTTCTTCAGGTAACCGTATTGCAAGTTTCTGATCATTGTGGTAGCAGTTCAGTATTCAGTAGCTTTACCATTTAAACGGGCTTGCGCTCATTTGGGCAATTGCTGCTCTCGATCTTGATCATTCGAAAAAGATATAGCGATGGTATCTGCATTATGTTTATATTAACATTTGGAGCTATTGGGTGCCCGATTCTCGTTGAATGTGCTTCCATCTAAAATGGTTGGCTGGTCAATTTTAGGCATTCTTATGGACTTTCATCTCCTTTATTTGACGTGAAACATCTAAAGATTATTTGAGTTAATCTTTTTTTGGAGGGACATGTCTCATTATTTTATTAAGTATCTGACGAGTCCCCCGAAAAAAGGAAAAATGAACTATCATGAGAGCATGAACATGAAGGCAGATGGGGCATAATCGAAAGAGTCGCATACATCAGCATGCTTATGAAACAGTTTTAGATACAAGTTATCGGCATATTGCAGTAACTTAACTCTGGGATGTCTGTGCAGTCATCGGTGAGTCTGAAATTGTTGGCTTTCGACCTCCTCGAGTTGCTCCTGTTATCAGCATTTCCGGAGATGGATTCTGTCTTTAAGCAGCTATATGACGAGAAACATAAATTTGGCGAATACAGAGCAAATTAGGAGAAATTCGCGTACAAGATTAGTTACAGGATCGAGTAAAGATTTGGGTTTTTTCTCTGTTACACTGTTTCACCTTTCTAGTCTGCTAAGTTCGTTTCATATCTTTTACACCAGAGTTTTTCTTTTCCCCCTTGACCATGTGAGTGAAGTGTATACCTTGCAAAGGTCTGAATTTTGTATCTAGTTTTTCACTTGTCATCAAGAGGGAAATCAGTCTCCTGTAAATTATGAGGTTATTCAAGATGTACAGCATTCTAAATGTAAAGCTTGTTTCTCTCCCATTGAAACTTCACTTAGTTGGAGTGGGTCACGGCAATATGGCTTGATAGATCCCTTTTTGGTCAACGTCTCCATTGAGAATCTCAAGACATGAGTCTTGCTCTCTACTAGAATGAGGCTCTGAAACATTGCAATGAAATGTCGTGGAGTATGACAAGAATTCAGCCTTGCACCGATCCTAAAAAATTCCTTGCTGCAACAGTTTGTGGTTAAACGGGATTCCTTAACCATCCAAACCGTCGTAATTTTCGTGTAGGAGAACGAAGGGTTTCAGAACATGAGTAATTTCAACTCGAAACGCTGGAAGAATTGGCTTTGGCAATCTAACTTGCCAATGTAGATGCTGAATGCACTCAAATAGCCTGAGTTAGTGCAAAAATTGTTCACATGAAGGCCATACAGGTTTACTGGTCTTAAGAGAACAAAGTACCAAAGGCACGGAGATTCGTTCGTGCCCGAATAGATTTTTTTACACTTATGTGGTTGGAGCTATGTTGGTTTGTGAAGGAGAAGGATTGGCACCTTCTTTAATATCAACCTTGCATGGCTAAGCTAGAATGATGATAATCGGCTAGAACGGAAGATGATGCAATTGCAATCGTAATGACGCAAGTCAAAAACCTCAAGATGCATCTGATATTGGGTCATAAACCAATCTCATACTTCCGTCTCACGAATCACTAAACAGCAAGTGCAATGAAGTAGTTCTGCTCTACAATTATCAACTACCAATCTCATGGAAACATGAATAATTTCAATAGCAAAGTGAAGAGACATCTCAACTTAGAAGACAAGCCTATAGGAACCATGAGAATCGAGTTTTTAAGGCGATTACAGCAAGCATCTCCTGAGAATTTCGATCTCACTCACACACAAAACAGAAAAAGAGTCCACTTCAATGGATCAGTGGGATCAAGATCTATCGCAACATAGCTGGACAGTTTGATCATGTGCAATCAATTCATAAATTTAGAAGCCAACTGCTGCAATTGGCTTAATCAAACTCCTCCTTTAAGAAGCAAACATAGCTCCAACCACAAAGTGTGACTCAATGTGTTGCATTCCTTCACCTCAACTACAACCAATCCACCATCATGTAATCTTGCTTCCCATCAAAGCCATGTTAACTGCAGATGTAACTGGGACAGCTAGCAACAATAACAAGATGAACCCCTCACGGATCACGACTTTCGCATACGCAGAAAATAAGATGATGTTCATATCGGCAAGAGCCATATCGGGACATCAAGTAATAGAAAATTCCTGAAAACTTTCCATCCTCAGACTCAAATCCAACTACAGAAGGAACAACTAAAAGCATAATCTCAACAATTTATCGGCAACACAATGTTCTCAAAATTTTAACTTGTCCCAAAAGCGAATAGACTTAAATCTATGGCGAGGTACCCAAATTTCGCCCGAATGACAGACGACCCGACACCTCAAGCAGAAGCAGCCGCTGCCTGCTTCCTTGGCGCAGCTTGAGTACCTAAAACAATTCAAACCACAAACATCTTGCGAATCAGCTAACGCATTGCCACGGGCACACCGAAATGAAAATGAAACGGAAAACGAGTGACTAGTCATATTGAATCGGCAAGACTTTAAAGCTCCATTACCTTCTAAGAACCCGCTCTTGAACCTGCGCGGCAGGTGGCGGAGGTATTTCATCCTGCCGGTGCCGGTGGTCTTCCTCCGGATCGCCTTCACGCTCCAATTATCTGAGCACGCATCAAGCTCAAGCTCAATACGAAAATCGAAAACAACTCCCAGAAATGACCCGAACGAAACACGCGAGAGCGAGAGAGAGAGAGAGAGAGAGAGAGAGAGTGTGTGTGGGGGCGCTTACACTTCCTCTTGCGAGCGGAGGGGAAGCCGCAGGCACCGCAACGGCTCTTCTGGAGGTGGAAGCTGCGGCGGCCGCACCTCACGCACAGCGTGTGCGTCTTGTTCCTCCGCTTACCGAAGCTTCCCGTTCCCTTACCCTGCAGCAATCAAGGACGCCCGCGAACCGCGCATCGGACCATGTGAGCACGAAATCGCAGGCAAGATTGAACAGGAAAAACAAGCCATTTCAGAGAGAGAGAGAGAGAGGCGACGAGATAGATAGAGAGATAGATTTTTCACCATTGGAGCAGGCGGAGAAGAAACCCTAGCTGCAGAGAGGAAGAAGGAAGAAGCGGCTGAAGGTGGAGAATTTATACCAAGGAAAAAGAAAACCGAAGGGGGTTTAGGGTTTGGGCTTGGGCTTGAGGCACGTGATTTGCGCATCCGCTAAGCGACTTGTTTAAGGTCTTTACGGGCCTCGCGCGTGCCTATGGGCCGGGCTTTTAGGGCTTCGGCCCGTATGGGTCGGGCCTTTTCACCATCCTGTTTGCCGCGCTCAGCCTTGGGTGTGTTTGTTTCGTAGAAAATTAAAGGGATAATGACACAAACAGTTCCTGAACTTTGGCTCAATGTGCAATTTGATCCCTGAACTTTTAATTTGTTCAATGTAGTCCCTAAAATTTAACTTCATGTTCAATGTGGTCCCTGAACTTTCAATTTATTCAATTTGGTCCCTGAACTTTTAGTAAATATTCAATATAGTCCCTGAACTTGAATTAATGGAAGGACTATATTGAACATTTTTATAAAGTTCAGGGACTATATTGAACATGTGCAAAAATTTCAGGGACCACATTGAAAAAATTGAAAGTTCAGGGATCATATTGAACATTGGGTTAAAGTTCAGGGACTACATTGAACAAATTAAAAGTTTAGAGACCAAATTGCACATTGAGTCAAAATTCAGGGACTGTTTGTGTCATTTTCCCAAAATTAAAGCATGTAACTCTAGAAGGAGATTGGAACCCTTTTGGCATTGAATAGAGAGTGTCAGACAAAACCAGAAAGCATGGTAGTGTGTGGGCCTAATACCCTAAGAAAACCTGTACTTTATCTCCGGTCCCAAATTTATTTTAAACTTTTTTTTTGTCCTATAAAAAACTCCCAACACTAGATCCAATCCCAATTCTACCTCAATTTTTCTTTTTGTTCCATAAAAAATTTCTAACTTTAGGTACAATCTCAATTCTACCCTAAAGTTTTTTTTTTGTCTCATAAAAAACTACTAACCTTTACTTGAGTCTCGAATCTCCCTCCTTAAGCCTTTGTCCAAAATTTATCGTTAACAATCGAGATATGAAAAACTCCAGAGCGCAAGCTATTCAAGTGTCCCGAGCCAAGTGTCGCAAGCAGGAGCTCTCCGACTGTGAGAGATGAAAGAGTCTCGAGCATGAGAGATTGAAGATTGAACACAAAATCGAAGATCCCCGAGTGTGATGAGGAAGGCTCTCTTAAGAGTAAGAGCAATTGAAGAAAGCCAACTCTAATTAATCTAGTTTTACCTAAATTTCAGATTTAGAAAAGATGTCGTTTGGGCTGACGTGGTAATTCATCTCCAAAAGATGTCTTCGTTGATCTGAAATTTGGAGAAAAACTAGAGCAATGACATGGAAATGACACGTATGATTACTAAGGGCAATCTTTTGACAGAGAGTTAATGGAGCAGATATACGACATAAAAGTTGATGGTTTTTTATGAGATAAAAAAAAGATTACAGTAGAATTGAGAGCAAATCTAAAGCCTAAAATTTGGAGTTTTTTATGAGATAAAAAAAAAGTTTAAGTAGAATTGGGATTGGAGCTCAAATTTGTGATTTTTTAGGGTATTAGTCCTAGTATGCGAGTGAGAGTAAAGGACAGAGATGAAAAGTGAGGCAAAAGACAAAAGAAGCTCGTTGGACTTTCAGAGCCTTTGTTCCCTGGTTAACTTTTGCAAACTCGTGCTGTCACTCTCTTTTATCCGTATACGCAGATCACCATGTGCAGAAGAAGGAGAGATGAATCCAAACGGATTGGGGTCGAAAACCGTGGTCGCGAATGGCGACTCCGAGGCGAGCATCATCCCAGTACAACAGCCACAAGAGCCACAAAATGCTAATGCTAGGAAATCTATCTGATAAACCCGTGATTCTTCTTCTCCAACGGAAATGGCTACTTAACAGAACCAGATGAGGGAGTGAACCTTCAGTCTAGCTGAAACAGACAGTGAATAGAATGGAGAAGAGCGCGATGCCGACAGAACATGCTGGGAGCTTCATGAAATTCGGGAAGCACAGTCCCAGCAACAGAAGGTGGGAACAAGAAGGGAAGGTCAAGAAACCGGTAGCTTCGCATTCAGCGAAATCCGAAGGACATTCGAGCCCTGGAGATGAGGACGGAGGAGTTCTGGACTTGGCAGAGAAGATGAAAGAGTTGGAGCTGATGGATTTGGGTGATGTGGAACACGTCCTGGACCTTGAGGAGGCTCTCCATTACTACTCCCTCCTCACAAGCCCGGTGTTCCTAGACATAGTCCACAAGTTCTTCATGGAGATTTACTCCGAGTTCTCCATGGCACGGGAGCCCATCAGGATGAACAACTCGAAGAGGAGATTCGGCTCTATGGAGTTCTAGATGGATCTGTAATGGCTTCGTGTTGTTGTTCTTCCTGTGGTCATCTGTGCTCTACTCGATGGATTTGTAGTCGTCCCGACTGGATTTTCCTTTCCCAATCCAATCTGTAACTACTTGAGTTTGGCACGTCTTGAATGAACATGAAGTTCTTACTACTTACTGAGTTTCACTATGCTCTCTCGGACATTGCCATGTAATCTTCTCGTTATCCTTAATTAGCTCAAATTTAGACCATTATCATACTGAGAGTCGAGGTATTAATCCATCGTCTTCAATGAAAGAAACTGCCACAATAGACTTCAATGCTAGGAACAGAAAAATTTCGTGGTGCATTATGTCACAGCTCCCAAATCTGCCACGAGAAGGCATATTTAGCCTGGCAAAGCACAGAAAAGACCCTAGAACCGTAACATCTTAGAGAATACAAGAAGCTATTACCGGTACAATTGCAAGTGGAAAAGACGACTTCACTAGAGGATTCATTCAAGCACCTAAATTCTCTCATTTACAATCTGCTATCCCTGTATCAGAAAGAGCAAAACTCGAGCACATTCAGTATGATGCCAGCTGACAGTGCGGTAAAGCACCGTTCTTCTCTTCCTCAAGCAACCTTTGAACAACTGCGTCGAACCTGACCATTAGGAGCTGTTAGGACTTGGAGGTTCGACAGCTTCGTCATGGTCTCAGCAAAATCTCTGCGAAACAAAGAGACATCTGAGGCATATGCTCTGACCCAACTCCCAGTTTCTTCTCCCACCATGAGCTGTTGATCCGCGTAGAGAACCCCTTTACCTTGCAGCAACCTACGGTAGTACAGAGTCCCGAAACCAGAGCTTGGCCCCTCATAGTTCATCACTATACCGGGCTCTTCAGATGTCAAACTCAAGAAGCCAAATGAGCTGTGGGGTGATGATGGAGCTGAAGACAGCGATGGAGACGCTGAAAGACTATTGTTGCATTTGGATCTCATTAGGTTGAGGAATCCAACATCTAGAGATGGGTCAGGCTTGTTAGTCCCAGAAAAATTGTAGAGACGGCTCTGGAACGATTTGCAGTGAATCACTCCGATGCTGTGAGCTCCTGGAAAATATCAAATTTGAGTTAATCTAGTGCAACCACTGATTACATCCACATAAATGCTAGTTTCAGAAATTGGCCACTTCACGGTAAGGTGTTACAAAGCTTGAAAGCATTTATCACACGAACGAAGAATCGGGATAAGCAAGATACCGAGCAGACTGACAATCTCTCTTTCATTGAATCCTCGTGATCCAAAAGACGTGAGTGTGTCCGAGAGATCTCCATATGGCGAAGGAAGCTGATACGTCGCTAGATCTGCATATGAATGCATGCTGTCTGTTCTACCAGTGCTCAGGGGATAGAATGGACCTCCGGCCTAAAATTCCAGAAATCAGTACCCAAAAATCTCAAATTTGGATTCTGTCGAAAAATTGAATGACGTTTTATCACATATACGGAGATGTGCACGTTGCAGAATCCTGGTGGAGAGAATTACCATGAGAAGGCCTTCTCTGGCCGCCAAAACAAGAATGTCCGCGCACGATACGATGCCGGGGCAGACCTCTTCGATCTCGGCCTTGATGACGTCGATGATGTCAAAACCCTTCAGCGTCTCGTTCGGAGGCGTATCTTTCTCTGCGTCCATCACTTTGGTCGAATCCAACAAAACAGAAGCATCGCATCCCTGTGGCAGTTTCGTTTTGGCAAGAGACATTAATAAATTCAGATCATCACGTCCAAGATCAAAGCAATGAATTGAAAAAGACCCAAATTTCAACAGGAAAACAATATGAAGATTCATGAAAAAGACACCCAACAGGAGTGGAATTTCCAACGATAGCTGCGACTATACCCGAATCGCTAAAGAAACAAAGCGATGTAAACATGGAGCAAAACCCCACAGTTATCATCAAAAGCACCAAATACAGGAAACAACGTAAAGATAGAAAATAGCATCGTGAAAGAATTCTTCAAACACGGTAATTGCATCTCGCGACCAGGCACATAACGAGGTACTACTATCAAATTAACAAAGAACTTAGAAGCCGTAACCACATTTGGCAGACAATGAGATATCAGAATGGCAATCGAACTCATCACCTCGATAAAGCAGTCGTGAAAGACGAGCCGCAACAGAGCGGGAGCAACACCGGAGTGAACATCGTAAATTCGCCGGACCGTATCTCGGACGATCTTTTCGGCTCGCGGGCACGACTCGCGGTAGTAATCGTACTCGAGCGGCTCAGCCAAGTAACGCCTCACCGAGCTGACTCCATCGAGGCCGCCATCGTGCCGCCGGGGCCACGACATCAGCCGAGACGAGAGGTTCCTAGCGAACTCCGAGGGAGGTGGGAACCGGAGAGCCGAGGGCGAGTTCCTCCTCCTCGGGGTGTCGGCGTTTGGGTTGGTGAGGGCGATGTAGATGCAGAGCAAGACGGTGAGGAGGCTCAGTTTCTTGATGCAGTCCATTTGCTTCCTCTCCTTCCTTCGGTTCTTTCTTTGAACCCTCTTGAATGGGGGGTTGGTGGGGATTTTTCTAGTCATTCTTTCATCTCTTCTTGATCCTGTGCTACGCAGCTTCTTGATCATGTGTCATGCAGAGAGAGAGATGGCGTCATTGAATGGAAGTTCGTTAAAAGCCGTTACCTGTTGGATTTGAGGCGACAAATTACATTCTAATCTCTTAATTCATTAATTGAATTTCCAATGGCAATTTGATATACTTAAATCAATTCCTCAACTCCGTCAGTTTTGAATGAACGAAAAATACCGTTTTTTTTGTTTGTTTGCATTTTCAAATCTACGTCATCACGTGAGTGAACCGTGAATTTCCTGTCTATTAAAGCATGATGAAACTAACGAAAGGACTAAAATCGACAATTGCCACAAGTTTTAAGACTCTGTCTGGGTGTGCCTTTTTTTTTTTCACACTAGGTGTTGATTTGGCAAGATCTTTTAGATCTGGCCAACTGATCATGCTTGCTCAGTCCTGCCTAGAGATTTGTAAAAATCGAATAGTTCAAGGCGGTTCCCACGAATATCGATCCAACTCGTGGTTCCAGGTGAGTACTGATTCGGTTCTCGGTTCCAAGGGGTGAAACCACCCAAACCGGATCGATATATATATATTAGATTGAAGAGGGGAAAAGTGCCAAAAAAGTCCTAAACCTTTTGTATTAATGCCAATTTAGTTCTAAACCTTTTTTTGGTGCCAATTCAGTCCTAAACCTTTTGTTTTTGTGCCAATTTAGTCCTTCCGGCCAATTTTGACCGGAATTTGCCTACGTGGACGCCTGTCGACCAGCGGCCAGTCACCGGCGCCGACGTGGATAACTTTAATAATATTTTAATATATTTTTTGAATTTTTATTTTTTTTCCTTTTTTCTTTTTTTTTTGATCTCCCCGCGACCGGCCAGAGGAAGGAGGGAGATAAAAAAAAGTGAAAAAAAAGAACAAAATTCAAAAAAATATTAAAATATTATTAAAGTTGTCCACGTCTAGCACGGGCCGACGCATTGGCGGGCAAGCGCCCACGTCGGCAAATTCAGTCAAAATTAGCCGAAGGACTAAATTGGCACAAAAACAAAAGGTTTAGAACTGAATTGGCATCAATTTAAAAGATTTAGGACCGAATTGGCACCAAAAAAAGGTTTAGGACTAAATTGGCACCAATGCAAAAGGTTTAGGACTGAATTGGCACCAAAAAAAGTTTAGGACTAAATTGGCACTAATGCAAAAGGTTTAGGACTTTTTTGGCACTTTTCCCGATTGAAGAGAGATGGACACTCAGTCCCATTTCCTTGAATCTGCAATGCAAGCAAAGCTTCCCTCCCTCCCTCTCTCTTCTCTCTCTCATTTTACCTTTTGAGCTCTCTCTCTCTTTACTACAAGAGAATGGCCTAGTCAACCTCGATGAACTCGACGTCCTAGGACTTAAGGTCGTCGGCGATGGAGGAGGTGCGGTCAGCGTTTAAGTACTTCTTGCAGTACTCGATGACCTTGGAGAGGATCTTGCTGGTGACGTTAGGGAGGGGGATGCCGTCGTCGGCGCACTCGTCCTTGATCACGTGCTTGGTGGTCTGAGACTCTAGAGTCACCGCCTCCTCCACCTTGAAAGACTCTTTGTCCGAGCTCTTGAGGATGAACTTGCGAGCGGATGATATGGTTTCTCCGCACAAATTTATTAGAGAGAAAAGGAAGACGACGATGCAATTGCAGGGAAACGTACGATGAGATCAAGGATATTGGGATAATTCGGCCTTTCCCAGAAGTAAATCTACCTCCTCTTTTGTTCAGTTTCACCATTCCCAGCCTCACAGGACAGGGCCGGTTCGGTCCGGTTTCCCGAGTGGGTCCACAAACCAACGAGCGGTTCCCAGTTTCAGGTTTGTGGAACCGGTCCTAAGACAACAATTTCCGATTCCATGGTGGAAATCGAACCCGCCAAAAAACCAATTACCCCTGGTCTCTCCCATTGACCATGTCCCACCATGGTACTATCTAATTTTGACGTATATGTCAACCGTTTCATACAATTTCTATCCAACCAAAAGTCAAAATTCTCCAAAGAGCACGTTCAAAAACACCCATTCGTCCCGAATCTCACGGTGGAAAGTGTAAGGCGACGGCATTTTTCTTTCTTCCGGATGGAAAACTGAAGTAAATGAATTGGAATGGGTTAGGCAAGACATCAACATTAAAATCATCATCATCCTCTTCACTTCATGGATGTCGAAGGAAAGAACTCTTTGCCTTACATAGTAAAAGAATCGAACGAACTACAACAGTAGAGAGAGATAGAGAGAGAGAGAGAGAGAGAGAGAGAGAGAGAGAGAGAGAGAGAATATGCCCGTGGATGATGCCACCAGTTTCAAAGGACAGAGATCGAAGGTGTATGCCACACGCACTGCTTGTACATGGTCATGGTCCTCGCGCCATTCCCGTTTCCACACGAAGCTCGACTCTAATCTTCTCGAACTCTGTGACTCCACACCGCCATTCCTCCTCTTTCTTGTTTTTATATATATATATATATATATATATATATATATAGATATATATATTGCCGTCCTGTTTTCCATCAACCAATTCCAACCCAAGTTCTTGCTCCCCTTGGTCTACCGGAAAAGGAGAAGCTTTCCCCAATCTCCGGCCGGCATTACACCACCAGACCATCTTGGGCAATGGCGGAAGGAGGCGTCGTCACCGTCTACGGCAGCAACGCCGTCGCCGACACCAAGAAGAACCCCTTCTCCCTCAAGGTCGGCATGGCCCAGATGCTCCGCGGCGGCGCCGTCTTCGAGGTGTCCTCCGTGGAGCAGGCCAAGATCGCCGAGGAGGCCGGCGCCTGCTCCGTCGTCGTCTCCGATCCGGCCGGGCCTGCCGGGGGCATCTCCCGCATGCCCGATCCCTCCCTGATCAAGGACGTCAAGCGCGCCGTCGCGATCCCGGTCGTCGCGCGGGCCCGGGTCGGGCATTTCGTGGAGGCCCAGATTCTGGAGGCCGTCGGGGTCGATTACATCGACGAGAGCGAGGCGCTGGCGATCGCCGACGAGGACAATTACATCAACAAGCACAACTTCGGGAGCCCCTTCGTGTGCGGGTGTCGGAATCTCGGAGAGGCGTTGAGGAGGGTGAGAGAAGGTGCGGCTATGATCAGGACGCAGGGCGATTTGGTCGGATCTGGGAATGTGGCCGAGACGGTCAAGAACGTGAGGTCAGTGATGGGGGAGATGAGGGTCTTGAACAACATGGACGATGATGAAGTCTTTGCGTTCGCAAAGAAGATCGGGGCGCCCTACGATCTCGTGGCGCAGACCAAGCAAATGGGTCGCCTCCCCGTCGTGCATTTTGCAGCTGGAGGGATCGTAACTCCGGCCGACGCGGCGCTGATGATGCAATTGGGGTGCGACGGCGTATTCGTGGGTTCGGAGGTTTTCGATTGCTCGGATCCATATAAGCGCGTGCAGGGCATTGTCCGAGGCGTGAGGCATTACACGGATCCTCACGTGTTGGCGGAGACGTCCTGCGGTCTCGAGGACGGAATGGCGGGGCTCCATCTTGATCAGGAGAGGATCGAACAGTTTGAGGCCAGGGATGTGTAGTCACTGAGTTTTTCTTGCCAAAAGTATATGCCTACTCTGTTACAGAGGTACTGGGCTTTTTACAGAGTCTAAATGAATTTGCTGCTCCCTTTTTCTTTCCATTTTGTATAATTCTGCTGCGGAAACAATTTCGGGTACGGAATACATTTGCATCTTCTTGTTTGACACTGGATATGAATCAAATTGGGCAAGTACATTCCTTACCAATGCCATTTTGTTGTGTGTATTGTCTGTTCTATGGGATATAATGGTCATGTTCCAATTTAAGAAGGATTGGCGTTGTTGTGTTCGCTATTCGATGCTGGTCCTCTGAAGATGAGAATGAGATGTTCTTGCTTGTTTCTGGCTGAACCGAAGGTGGATTAGTATGCAGCAACTCTTAGTCCTGCCTAAAGGTAGTCAAGCTGCTTAGCAAGGCGACCAATGAACAAAGAAGCTGATAGGAATGACATTGTCGGTGAGAAGCAGGAGACTTAGCAAGGCGTTCCGATGATCCATTGCTCTAGTTTGCCAAGACCAAGGATGTACCTGAAAGATAGCTTTGGATAACTTTTTCTGCCGGGCATAACGCGCAGATGGTTTCATCTCCTATCTTTAGGCAGTTCAGTAATAGGCTAATCCTATTAATGACAGTTTCTCCTCGCGCCTTTTGGTTGCTTCCTCTCGGGGAGTTCTTGCTTGTTGCGATAAGCAATAGAATAAAGGTAGATACTTTCTGCTTGCAGTTAACACTAGCGTAGAGAGGGATGTGGCATTAGTTATGGAAGATGACTGGTTGATGCTGAGGCATCAGAAAGAACCAGCACGAGAGGGTTTGACAAATACCCAAAAGAACTGCCTCATTCGTGAACCATGTATCTATCTCCCTGCCATTTAATACGAGTTTATGTCTCTATCTTGGAATAGATGAGGGTTGCTGTTAGATAGAATTAGCCGAAGTAGGGGTTTCCTGCTGCATAACCTTGAAGGTCGGCAAAATTGTTAGTTTAAAGTAGCTGCAATTTTTTTTTTTTTTTTTTGTCATTGAGAAAGCACTGCAGTTACAAGTGGATAAAAGATTCGACATAATCCCATCAATCAAATCTGTGTTCCATGCGACATTCCCCCTTCATTTCCTTGTCGATTTCACTTTCTGAGTCTTCAGATCTGTGAGTGAATATCCGGGCACAATGTCTGTGAACTTATAGGAGACACGACAATACTCTGGCTTATATATGGTCTGTTACCCCAAGACAAAGCTGTGCTAATGTGTCCGCCCTTAAATGGCATTTTCTATTTGATGTTTTGTGTGATCACTGCTGTCGTTGAACAAGCACCTAAGGGCAATCTCATAAGCAGAAAAAACAGCCCCATTCACCACGAAAGCTCTGGCGACTGCAGTCCCCAGTCCTCGCCACAGAACGCCATAGCCATCTGTTCGTACACTTTTGCGGAAACAATCAACTATCCCATTATATTGCATTGGGGATACTTGGGACTGAGCTTGTAGCCTCGTTTTTAACACATCCAATGGATAGCAAAAAACCCAGCTTGCTACTCCAGCTAGCCCTCCAGCTATTAGCATTGTTCTTAAGCTTTCGTCGCTGTTCTTCCTGCAGCCTGGGTGGAGCTTCTCTCTCATGTACTCGTAACTCCAGAAATAGACTCCATGGGCAGGCGCGTCCCTAAGGACCGTGATCCCTAGTCCACGGTACATGCCCTTCAACCCTTCGCGTTTATATATGGACTTGGTGATGCTTATTGCTCCCCTTTGATGCTGCTGTTGATGAGATTGGGCGCATTTTCTGTCCTGTAATTGAAGCTGAATCTTGATCAGTTCTACAGGGGTGAGGATAAGGCTCTGCATAGCCCCAGCGCCAACCCCACCCAGAGCAACACCTTTGTATGAAGGAGGGTCTCTCGCCGAAACAGACGAGTCAAATGCTCGAGAAAGGACCGCGTAAATTTGGAATACCATGGCGTTCTGCGAAATGCAGGGATATTTTCTCAGAATATGAAAGCAAAACAAGTACATGACAATTGTTGTAAAACCAAGTCTATTGATCTAACTTAATTCACTTCAGTCATACGGACACCACTTGATTATCAAACCATTCTTATCATTCGACACGCATGAAAAGATGCTTCAACTCGAAAATTAGCTTCCCGTTGCTTGCGTTTTGACAGGTCCGTTCATACTCAACTCACGTTTTTCTTTCTCATCACAAGCAGGTAACAGCCCCTTAAACATGGTATCTGGAAATGTACAGGCAGATACTTGTTCTTCGGATTAATGATGCACACTATGCATGAAACTAAGCGCACTTTTAGCTCATCTTTCAAACAAATCATACACTCCTTTTAACGTACTCTTGTTTTCAAAAACTTTGCCTCCCCAGGAGAACCATGCTCTTTCTTTCTTCCGATAAAAAAAACCTCTAGGGCATGTCAGTGTTAACTCCTCGTGTCTCTGGGTTGGTGGAGCGAGGATGTTACATGGAAGCACAGGGAAAATAGTTTGTGAAGAATCATATCATCAGCTTATGCCATTTGTCACCGTGCTATGAGAATTGATTGCTGACAAGTAAATGGTGACCGTGGAAAGAGACCAAGACGTAAACCTAGTAGTCCACACGGAACAACTCTCTCTGTGATCATGATGTTTCCTTGCACCTACTGCGTCTGCTGTCAAGGAAAATCAGAACTTTGGTGGAAATTTCTGGCCCATCTTATGGACAGTGACGTTTCCTGAATATAAAACCATATCACTATCTACGACATTAAAGCACAAATGTCCTAGTGGAAGATGACACTTCAGTGTAATCACAACCCAAAAAGCAAGTCCAATCTGACAAGCTACCTTTCGACCAAAAAAAAAAAAAAATCTGATAAGCTACCTAATTTCACTATAATTGACCAAGAAAACAAATTAGGTAGATCAAGCAAAAGGATCTGATGAAGACCACAGATTGCCTTGTGCCTGAATTACCCAGGCACAGACAGAGAGAGAGAAATCTGAGAACTCTCCTTTTCTTCCAGTCTTTCCACCAAGAACAGAAAGGGCTAAGAACTAGCCATGCTGGTGATTTCCTCAACAGCACAGCGCCCTAATCACTCTGCATTCATGCTCTCCACGGAGCAAAATAGAAACCTTGAAATCATCAAACCAGCATGAGAATCATTCATGTCTCCAGCACATTGAAGCCATTGCAAATGGGACATAAACCTTAAGAAAGTGCATAACCAGATAAACAAAAGACATTGAGGGGCTAAGACATGCGATTCATCATCCATGATACCAATGTCAGATCAACTGACCTGAAATGTGACGGAAGCCAAGGGTGCGCCCATGCCCCGGTACAGTGCGGCCGGCCCACCGTCGCGGACGATCTTCCGGAGGATGCTGATGGCCGAGCCCGACCCGGAGTGCTGCTGCCGTATCCGGAGGGTGTCGAGAGGGTAACCCGAGATCACCCCGGCGGTGCCGCCGAACCCGCCGGCCACGAATTCTCTGCCCCAGCTGCTCGCAAGAAACTCAGGCCAGAAATCCATTATCCACAACTACACTGATGCGAAACACAGTACAATCTCCCCCTCGTTCAAATCCTCCTTGTACCTCTCAGGGACAAGTATCCGTCGCTCACGGACCTGACCGCTCTCTCCTTTTGTCTCTGTCTCAAGGAACGGATATTACGTCACCACCCCTCTTGGGTCTTGATGGTATCTTTCACAAACGATGCCACACGAGGTCTCTCTCTCTCTCTCTCTCTCTGGACATGTACGTGCAACGAAAGAACAAGTCACGCCCGGAACAGGATAGATACCGGATTCGTTACCCTTTTGCTCCTCGATAAGTGCTCTCCCAGATTCTGCAATATCCTCGTACGCTGGTCTCTCTCCTCTTTACCCACGCAGAGCTCGGGCACGACAAACAGCCTGAAACCCTTTTCCCCTTATCACTCGTTCCCGCACGAGAGAGAGAGAGAGACTCAACTCGAGGGCCGCTAGTGAGAAACTGCAGCACGTCTGAAAGGTCCTTTTATAGCTTGGAGAGAGAGAGAGAGAGAGAGAGAGAGAGAGGAGAGGCCGAAACAATGCCGCCGGAGGCAGCTTTTTCTCGTGTTGTTTAGAGCGTCCGAACAAGCGGAGACGTCTCTTCCTTTCCCTCCCTCGTTCAGTGGCGTGGAGGGAACCCGCATGGGCCACTCGGGCGCCCTCCTCCTCCTCCTCCTCCTCCTCCTCTGCGAGTCGTTTTTTGGGCCCTTGTGTTGGCCGCCGATTTCTGAAAGACCCCCTCGCTCTGTCCGGAAGCCATTTGTTCTTTTGGGCCGAATTGAATTATTTGACTCAAATGTGTTTCCTACGCGTGAAATATTTCGGGAGAAAATTGTCCAAAAAGTTTTACTTCACCAATTCAATCTTATAGTTTTTAATTTTACCAGTTGAGTCATGAACCTTTTAAAAATTTATCAATTAAGTCAATTCGGCCAATTTTAGCCAGAATTTACTAACGTGGATGCTAGCCGTGCCACGTAAGACCGGCGATGCTGATGTTGATAATTTTTAATATTTTTTTCTAAATTTATTTATTCTTTTCTTCTTCTTTCTTTATTTTTTTACCATGGTTGGGCCCTCACCGGCCGTGACCTGGGCGATGCCGACTTCTCCCGCAGCTGGCGAGGCTGGCCTCGCGCGCGGTCGTGCACTGCCCACCATCAAGAACAAAGGCCACGCATCATTCCTCTTGGCTTCGTGTTCGACCCTTCTGCTTCTACTTCTACTTCTGCTTCTACCATTGTTGGGATGGCCTTCACATCATGAAGGCAGCATCGACCCTCGCCTAGAAGGCCATCGTGACCATGGCCAAAGGCGGCCTCATCCACGATGGCCTCGCCCAGTGGCCAACGAGGGCCGCTTGGCCCTCCCTGGCCACATTAAAAAAAATAAAGAAAGAAAAGAGAAAAAAAAAGAAAGAAGAAAAGAAAAAAATTAATAAAAATTCGAAAAAATATTATAATTTTAAATAAAATTGTCTAAGTCAGCGTCAGCCATGTCACGTAGGACAGCCAGCATTCACGTCAGCGAACATTGGCCAAAATTGGTCATATGGACTCAATTGACAAATTGTTAAAATGTTTAGGACTCAATTGGCAAAATTGAAAGGTTTAGGACAGAATTCGCAAAACTGCAATAGATTTAGGACTTTTTATACAATTTTCCGTGAAATATACCACCACTGGGCACACGGCCTATTGATAAGAGAATTGGGTGGGGGAGGGATGTTTAGTTTTGGTTGTAGAATTTGACTTCCACGTTCTGTGAGAGTTAGAGTAGGACAAATAAAAAAAAATTACAAATAGTTTTGACCAAAAAAATTACAAATAGTCACAACAAAGGAGTTAAAATTCTTTTTTTCTTTTTGGTGAAACAAGGGGGCAAAGCTCGAGTGTTATACTCTCCTAATAAAACTTGATCCAGTTTGATCTCTTATCAACAAAAGAAATAAATCTCTCGACATTCTATCTAATGCTAGAGTCAAATTCTTATTAAAAACTTGACTGGGTGTTAGCTTCTTTTAGTCCAAGAAATCACTTTAGAATAATTCCATATATTAACATTAGTACCTTTGGGCATTCACATGATCTACCTATGGATCGAGGAGATTTGTTGTGAATTATCAGTGGAGTCCAAATGGGATTGCGAAAGCTTTGTCCCCGCATGCCACGGTTGTTTATGGAGTTCGCATGATATTTGCAAGTTTGTTCGGCAAGACTTGCATCATCTTTCACTGCCTGGGATATGTCTCATCATCTTTCACTGCCAGGGACTAAATTAAATATGTACCAAAGTTCATGGACCATTTGCGTTATTTCCCCCCAAAAAATTACAAATAGTTGCAACAAAGGAGCTAAAATTCTTTTTCTTTTGGTGAAAAGAAGGGGCAAGGCTCGAGCGTTACACTATCCTAATAAAACTTGATCCAGTATCGTCTCGTATCAAAAAAAAATAAAATCTCTCGGTGACCTATCTAGTGCTAGAGTCCAATTCTTTACCCGGCGTGGCTTTTTGTAGTCCGAGAAATCACTTTACAATAATTTCATATATTAACATGAGTACCTTTGGGCATTCACATGATCCACCTATGGATCGAGGAGACTTCTCGTGAAATTATCGGTGGAGTCCAAATGGGATAGCGAAAGCTTTGTCCCCACATGCGATGGTTGTTTATGGAGTTTGCATGATATTCGCACGTTCTGTTCGGCAAGACTTGCGTCATCTTTCGCTGCCTGGGGATATGCCTCGTTGTTAAAGCAAAATTCGACCAGTCTAGGGACGGACACTTCATCGCACGCCACCATAGATCGGCTACGGCGGCTTCACAAGGTCGTCGGGTCGAATTCCCCCGCAGCTTTTTGTTTTGTCCGATCCTTTCGCATTTCCGATCGAATTATACGCTTTTGATCTTCGGGCAAATCTAATTCACACGCAGGGTCTTAAAGAATGACGGAACATATAGATTAACACAACGTTACGCGGGTCCACGGCCAATGTCATTGCGGTGTCAAACAAGTCCATCATTGAAAGCTTCACCTTCAAATGGGTGCTACTAATTGGACTGACGAAAGAGCAGGATCAATTTGTTTGCATGGTTCTAGAAGAGGTCAAGCAGTGGACGGACGAGGCCATGAAGATCATATACATGTTCATGTTAGAGCGAACCGATTCCATATCGACATATACCCTTCCCATATCGGACTCGAAGAAGTCCATGGATCGAGTTTGAGCCCACGAACAAAGCCTGACTCGAGATGAATTGTTATTTGCAGACATCTGAATGTGTTTCACGAAAATACGGATTTCCTGTTCGGTGCTAGAGTCCAAGTTGGATACTTCCTTTTCTTGTCCAGATATCAAATTGGACTTTGATCGTGAAAGAAAGGAAATTGTGGACTTCTTCTTTGATCGACCAAAGTGGGACTTCTTCGGGCGGTGGATATATGTATATATATTTCTAAAGCTTTTGCTTTATTTGCAGCTTGGTTGAGAAAAGCCTAGGGCACAAAAACAAGCCGCTGTTGAGGAAAAGGGGCAGAGTAGGTCTTCGTTCTCTTCAGGGGCAGCGAAGTTTTTGTATTAGTGAAATTATACCAAGAGTTAATGGGTAAGAAGCCGAATGTTAAGATAGAAATTGTTATATATTTTCATTAAGCTTAGGTGGATATATATATATTTTTTTTGGTAAGGTAAGGATTGTATTAACTTTTCAAACCGAAGCTTACAAAGATGATAGCCAAACACAAAAACCCCGCACATAGAGCGACACCTAAGTGTCCCAACAGGTGCAAAGGTGTTAGGCTAAACAAGGTACGGAAGCAAAGCAAGAAGGCTAAAAAGACAGCCAACTAACTATGAAAAATACATACAAAGACCGCAACAGCAGGTTACACGAATATGGACGAGGAAATGCCCCAATTAGTTTGTATTTTCCTGTTGCGGCGAGTGTCTTGAACAGGATGCATAGATAACCCTCTATCCCGAACAACCTTTACAAGATGATTGCGCATGGCTGGTAGGAACATCGCCTTGTTCCTGAAAAGTATATGATTCCATTCGGACCAGATAATGTGGCACAAGGCACCAAGAGAGAACCGAGCTATCCGATGATGGAAGTCACTACCGAATGTATTTGCTTGCCCAATGGAGATTATCTACCCACGGTTTGTTCCTCCAAGAGAGATTGCAAGTGTTTGCCCAAAACAATGCAAGGGATCCCGTGCATTGGCAACCAAAAAACAAGTGGTTTATAGAATCCGGTCTACATTTACATAATGCACAGACAGCTTCCGAAATTCTGTTGTAGTTGAGTAACACAACCTGAGTTGGGAGTCTATTTTTGGAGATAAGCCATAGAAAAAAGGCATACCTTGGTGCAATGCTACGGTCCCAAATAAAGGAGCTCCAGAACACTTTTGGTCTCTTGGTTCTGATGAACTCCCACGCCGATGCTGTAGAGAATGTCCCAGTAGAATGGCTTTGCCAGATGAAGGTATCGGGACTGTCACCGATTGTTGGTAATGGGTCGGTCCATGAGTTGAAACTTCCCATGAAGGAAGATGCATGCCATGAAGAGCAAAAGAAATCCTGGACAGTTGCACTTCTCGGGATGCCAGAGGAATATATTTCTCTATTAGAGAACAATTCATAAAGAGGGCCTTTAGGGTGCCAATTATCAAACCAAAATGATACAGATGAGCCATCACCTATATGCCAACGAAATTGCAGTCGAAATTGGGACCGGAGATCCAGGATTTTCTTCCAAGCCCAAGAGCAGAAGGTGGGCTTCGGTACCAACCAAAAGTTTTTATTCTTGAGGAAGGTAGAATGGATCCATTTGCACCATAAGGACTCTTTATCTGAAAATAGAATCCATATGTGTTTTAACATCGCTGCTCTATTGGAATCGAACAGCCTACGAATGCCCAGCCCACCTTCTTCCTTAGGCAAACAGACTTCATTCCATGGGACTTTAGCCCCCCCAATACCCAATTCAGGACCTTTCCACAAAAATTGCCGAAGAATCATTTCTATTCTATGCAGCACAGATTGGGGGATAGTGAAGACATTGGTCCAATATACTTGCATAGCATAGAGAACAGACCTGATTAGTTGCAGTCGCCCAGCAAAAGACAGAAAACGATGGGACCAAGAGCGTGCCCGAGCCGTTATGGAGTTAACAAGCGAGTTACAATCCGCTTTTGTTATCCTCGAAGCGAGGATGGGTACCCCGAGGTAACGGAAAGGGAGTGTGCTTTCAATAAAACCCAAGGTAGCTCGAATACGATCCTTAGTATCTGCAGCTCCACCAGAAAAATACACTTCACTTTTGTTGGGGTTCGGGTAAAGACCCGACCATTTGGAAAAGAGCTGAATCCCTTCTTTAAGGAGGGTGGCAGATGTGATATTTCCCTCTAAAAATAGAAGGACATCATCGGCAAAGAACATGTGTGTTAGG